AGGAACCGGGCGTTAAGATTGTAGTTGCCCGGTTTTAACTTACTAAACCACCTTGTAATAAGGTCACCTATATTAGGGGGACAGAAGGGGTTCTAGTTCCGTGCCTGGCAAAATATTGTCCCAAAATAATAGATAAGGACTGGAGGGGCAAATTTGCTGACATTGGTGAGGATAATTTGACGATTGGAGACACGAAATAGACCCGGCCTGCACCTGTAGTGGGAAAAAACGTCCAATACACCACTGTAGTGAAATAGCTATATGGTAATTCAGTCAAAACGGTATCGTCCTGCCGTTTAGGTTGAGTTATATAGGCCAGTTTTTTTACGCTTTTGTCATTGAGGAGGGAATCGGTCGTGCGTCCAGACCTCTAACCTTTTTTTCAACCGACGGAAACGAGAAAAAGGAAAACAAACGGCATAAAAACAAAATACGAAGAAGAGTTGGCTGGATCTCTTACCACAGGGACATATGGAGGCTTCTGAGTTGGCAGGACTTCCCAGTTAATCTCCGCAAAGAAGTGATGCTTCTTCAACTGCTGCGGGTCGGCCAGTCGGTCCTCGGGGTCACAGAGGAGGCGTTGAATGAGGTCGGCAGCATCACGATGGAGACGTGGCTCGCCGGGAATGCGAAGATGGCGCGACCATTGAACTACGCGAATCTGTGTATCCAATGCCGTCTGAGCAACAAAAGGCGGACGGCCGACAAGCATCTCATAGAGTATGACGCCCACTGACCACCAATCACACGCTTGGTTATACTCTGTCGTAAAGAGAACAGGGAACATTGATTACATACACAATACCTACTTTAATATGCTGAGTAGCCACGATTGTGTAGTAAACAAGCGTTAATTTGCGGGACTTGCCTTGCCGGCGCAAGATTTCAGGTGCAATATAATTTGGTGTGCCAACCAGCGACCTAGCACAGCGACGATTGGAAGAACTTCTGACCCTTCTGTCAAGGGTTTGATCATGCATTGGATGAAGCTCATCATCCCCCTCACCGTCACCATAGCCGGCCTCCTGCGCTTGGCATGCATCGGAGTTTGCATCTTCTTTATTCGATTCACCGGATTGAGGGTTTGAAAAAATGGGATCCCAGTACTTGGAACTATGAGTCCAGCGGAAACTCGTGCATAGACCAAAATCTGTCAGCTTTATATGCCCATCGCGGTTAATCAGAATGTTGTCCGGTTTAATATCACTGGGTAACAAACGGGTCATTAAAAAGAAACAACCATTGAAACCATCGGTTGTAAGAGTATGAGAGGGCCAGTTTAGGAATACATAAAGGAAGGAGGCAAAACCAATGCTTAAAGCTATAAAAAATAAGAAATGGGAAATTTTCCTGGATGAGTGTATCAGGTGTCAAAACATGCAATTCCGTAAAAACCAATCATTTATTACTGTCTATGCACTTCACTGAGACACTATGGTTTCACCATCATTGCGATGAAATAAAAGATAGTGTTTGCAAGTATTCTTTATATAGCAAGCCAATATTTGAGCAACAACGTATGAACATTTGGAAAAACGACAACCATCAAGGTTGAGGATACTTCCTCGGCTTGTGTCAGCGAGAAACGTGAAAGACTTATGCCCGTAACGCCATATTAGTGTTCGTTTCGTGACTTGTTATAGAAAATTAGTTAAAGCAAGCAACAAAAAGTATAAAAGGAGAATAGGAACTCTAATATATCTCATAAACTGCAATTAGTACTTCTAACTTATCCAATATAGGTAGACTTCCCACAGTTGGACAGATTTTTGGGTGTTATAGAAACAAAATGACATTAAAATGCAACAACTATGTTGAAAAATCAAATTTGAGTTTTCAGAGAGGAAACAGTATAAAACAAAATTTTGCTTAAAGTTTTCTAATAAAATTATGAAGGCAATCACTCTATATGGGGAATACTCACCGGTGGATGAAGCCAAGTCGATGAACACTCTCCAAGGCCAAAATCAACTCCGCGATATAGAACCGGGTCAAACCTTCCTCAAAAATTTCTTTCTTGATCAGTAGGGACATCATATCACCACCTATATGCCCAGAAGAAACACTGTTTAAGAAAGAGGCTAAAGACTTATTGTTAAAATCCCACAAAAACCATGCAATTCCGATAGAATGCTGTTGATTACATGTGGGATGCGCGGCGAAGGCTGTTTTTGGAGCAATAAGAGATTTTACTGAAGGATAGCATACTAAGCAGGAGTTTATCTTGGTCTAGCTAAATTTCTACTGTATACAGTGGTTAAGGAGTAGATTTCTGAGACACGGTGCAGCTTTAATATGAAATCTTCAAACTGATAGGCGGCTGGAATGAATTAAAAATTTTGTATGACCAAAGAAAGATAATTCTGCTTCAACTAGTGCCATTGCATCCACCCCCTGACATAAGTAGACTGCCAATACATGCATTGTAAAAATCGGTAACGGGGACTCGCATGGCCACGTAAACAGGACACGGTAAATAGGAGTGCCTGCCTACTTAAAGAAAATGAGCTGGCGGTAACTTGCAGGGAGAGTAAATACTTCCGTGTCTTAACTCCAACACTAAACCTAGTATAGAATGAAAGTTTAACCTTTATCTTAACTCACGCCGTATCCGTATTGCAAATCCTAAAGTTAACAGAAACCCAGAACTTAACCCTTAACATAATCCTGACCTTAACCCCCTACACTGACCTTAACCTAATTTTCCCCGATTTCGACGCGAATCCACAGGCATTACGGGTGTTTCCAGTTAGCTTGTCCTGTATAGACGGCTATCCAATTCAGCCTTATCTAAAAATCGAATTTAACAAGTAGATGTCCTTGTCTGACAGACAGCTAAGACAAACGTCACAGCTCACTACGTTTCCTTCACATAATTGCCTACTTATTTCGTAGTAGTAGGCATGGTTCGCAGCGAATCGATTAATCGATGCACCGGCTCCCTTGTGCCAACCGCTGCATGCATAGCTTAAGTCTACGACAGATCGGCCTCAAGTGTGTCGGTTCACAATCTGACAAGGGGCAAATTTTACTCACTCGGCATTCGTAACGGATGGGTCCCGACCGAAGCATGTGGTAAGATACTTCTTCTATGATCTAGTTTCCGTTAATGCGTAATTTAGAATGGAAACGTGCACTACTATAACAATAGTTGCAATATCATCGTATTTATACGGCCACTCTGTCGTACGCTTTCAATCTTAAAACGGAGCCTAAAGCGAACAAATAAAGTGAAAAATGCTCCAAGACATGTGAGTTCTTTGATTTGCGGCAAAAACTTTTTCACAAATTTTCCGAGAAGTAGAAAAACGATCAAATTTCCCAACTTTTACTTCGACCTTACCCTGAAGAAAAGGTAAAGTATGCAGAACTACGTAAGCAAAAAGTAATTTTTGTAAAAGTTAACGTGGTTAAAAAATTTTAAATTGATCTTAGATAAATTAATTTCCGATTTTGATTCTGGACGTTCATTTTCTGTACATTAAGCACTCAATTTTTCTCAGTAACAACGATTTTTGACGTCTTTTGAGTTTATCTTTTTCTAAAATTGTATTTTTTTCGTGGTCGTCAAAATGCGCTACATGCCGGCTTCCAGGACGCTGTTGAATTCAACCTCTCCCGACATCTACTTCATATTGAAAAAGAAAGTCAATACTAAGATTCCCTTCCTTGACGTACAACTACCATAACTGGCAGGAAAGAAGAAAGATAAGGAGAGCGATCTGCCGCAAGGCAACTAACATTAGGTCATTCAGCACTTCGCGAAGGACCATCCAGTTGGTCACAAACACAGTTTTGTTAGAACCCCTCTAACAAAGGAAAGTGAGAACTGGCATTTCCTATTTAGGACTAATGGTTATCCGAAGTTCTTCCTGTGTATGTGGTAAAATATGCGGTTCTTATTCGTGATGCCTTATTTGAAACAAGTTTTAAAGACGACAGCAAGAATCCTGAAACATTTCGCAATTGTTGTGCCTCCTTAATCAGAATCAACAATCACACAATAAATCATGAGGCTTTAAGATCCGCTACCAGTAACATAACGGTTAGCAGTGGTCTACAGCGTATCCTGCAAAAACTGCGATGTGAGGTAGATGTTGAAACAGGCAAAGGCCCTGGAACAAGATTGCATGAAAAGAAGTTTCCAGTCGACCAAAAGGGCTAACTATATGTGGCCCATGCAGATGCATAACAGAAAAACTGCAGTTTCGTCTTAAAAAAGCGAGGGTGATGAATTGCTCTAGCCATAAGATGATCACAGTTAACCTAGTCATAGACCAGTACTTCACCTACCAGGCGGTGCACGGAAGCCTAAAGTCAAGAAGGCCTAGCTCAACAGGACAATCGAGCGATGTCAGTCGTGGCCGACAGCTTATACTGTTGGATAGGAGGGGAGTGACCGTTGGGGCTGGGGGAGCCATGTGACCAATGAGGAACACTGCCTCACCGCCGCATCCACGAGGCGGAACCCAACTTACAAGAACAGTTATGCCTAATTGGTCCGCTGACTGAC